TACTTCATGAAAGCTATTTCGTTTTGCTTTTACTAGTGTAGATACACATCTGCATTTAAATGGTGGTATTATTATAAACTTTTACTTTTAGCCGGACGGCGAAAGCACACTCCACCGCTAACGAGTGCAAATAAAGTACATCGGATGTAGATTTACGCGTACCTTCGTTTGTTTTATTGCGAACTTTGTCCGCTTTAGCTCTACATTACGTGCGAAAGTTGAGTTAAAGGAGTTAAGTAGTGACCGTAAATTATCTACAGATTTCAATTTAGATTTGCACGCGCTAATTTCCATAATAGATTGTCGCTACTTGCGCTTATAAGTTAGTGTTTAATGTGTTGGGTGTAGTTTAAACTTTTCAAACGGATAATTTAATTCGAAAATAATCTTTATCTTTTGGGATGTATACTTCAGTTTGTAACAAGTCTATTTCCCAACGGTGGGAGTTATTTGGTGGAAAAGATTCTGGAAATTACCGTGACATTTTCGTGAGGTCGCAAACTAACACAGCTCTAAAATGTGACTGACACATAATTATTTTAAACTCGATTACAAGAACCGCTTCTCCCGCACTTGGACATTTGATACCACTAGCGAGTTTCAACCGGCTGAAATGCGGCATAATACATGAATGAATTATTTTCTACGAGGACGTTGCGTGCATGTCTAGTATAAAATTAAATTGAATAACGGATAATACATGCGGATATATTAATGAGGAACTTATTCCATTACAATTGAACTAACAGATAGTAGTAAATTATCATTATTTTAGCAATTCGAATCGGATTTAAAGTTTTAAAACTGTGACCGTTTAATTATTCGACTTCGATCTTAACGTTCGCAAATATATTGCAGTTTTCCGCCTAAGTACTTTTCTAACTAGTTTTTAAGTTGTCCGCTTGTTACGACGACTCCTCGGCTCTCGTTCGTTCGTTTATTCGTGCGATCGTTTGTTCGATTTCCAGTCGATTGCGAAAATAAACTAGGTATTGTCGGATGGGCTTAATTGTTCGTAAACAATTTTAATCTAACGTTATTTACAATTCAAATACGTCGCCGGTGTCGGAATTAACCCAACCCGCAATTCCCGAACGCAAACAACCGGTCGCGCGTCATCCGGAGCACCTAATAATAATTTAATGGCCTGCAAATTGCGCTCGACCATCTTTTCGCGTCTATTCTAGAAATTAGTTTACTAATCCCTTAGCGATGCCGAAATTGCGCTGCTCCCAACTTTTCGGTCCTTCTTCCCCCCCACCGCACGTTTGATGAAAACTATCGCAAACGAACTTATAATTAGTGTATTCGTGGAAATTCCGCCCTAAGGGCGAAGTGGAGCTCGCATCCGGCGCAACTTTTCTCGCACATTAAGACTGATTCCACGGTGAATTCTTAATATCAATTAAGCTTAATCGCTTTATCGATAATCCTACTTGAGATTTTGGTGGCTACAAAATAAACAAGTTAGTTACATCAATAATAAAATGAAAAAAAAAAATTTAAACTTTCGTCATATCTAACAATTCGTGGAATTAAAACAATGAAGTAATTTTAATTGGAAATCGTAAGAGGAGGTGTTTGAATTGCGGTGTTTAATAATTTCCTTCATGGAAACGCTTTTACGTTTTAGTTACGACTTCTCTTGAAATCACGCTTTCAAAAACATATTTTGATTATGATTCAACATTATTGTTGTTGTACGTTTTATAAAAAGTTTTTACACTTCGAACTTTACCGCGGTGATTTTCTCACATTTTTTTTGTAAACCCCCTTAAACTTTGTTGAAGTGAGCAGCCTTAACCCACTCAATACCGTTTTCCCTCTAATGAGCAAGACGTCCATGTCGTTGTCAATAAAGTGGCGAGCTCTGGCGGCGAGACATTGAGGCAATAACGATGAGAAATCGCGTCCCTAAATCACTTTTAATGACTTCGCCCGCAAGAAGCAGAAGGGAGAACTTGGTCTGGGTAGTGAGAAGGAAGCAACGGTTGGGAGTAAGCGAGATGGTAAAGGGAGTCCTTGTTTTCCCCGCAGATTCCTAGTTAGGCTCTAACGCACCGAAAATTATAACCGGGGGCAAGAGTTCGCTTAATTCCAATGAACGCGGGTCCGCCGGGGGCCTCGACTTGAGCACCCCCCATCAAACTGTGCTCAACTCTCGACGGATACGCCGAAAGTCGCGCACAAGAGAGAACTCTACAAGATTCGGGGTTCTCTCTTTTTCGGGAGCCGATCGTTTTCCAAAACTTGGAAAACGAAAGAATTATTTGGGGAGGGCATCCTCTAGGGATAGCAGGCTTACCGCAGAAATTGAATTGCCAAAGTGGGGTCCTAAAACGCATCTAAGTTCGAACCGGACTTAAAAATATTGATTTATTTAGACAACTTCTTTCCGAATCGAACTATCACCAACATCCCTCATGCAATAGACGTCGCAAATGCTCCCTTTCCAGCTCTAATAGAAAATCACGTACGGATTTAAGATTGACCTTTAACCCCTCGGGGCGACGGAAGGGGTACTCAGGTTAAAATCAGGTGTCGTTACCAGCAGCCGGTGTCGTAGCAACGGCCATTTGCATGGACTATGCGTCATCTGCGCGTGGAAGCGAGTGAGTCGTTCCATGACTCGCACAGATTTCTGCAATACCAACCTGGGACCGACACCAATCTCGCGATATTTGAATATATAGGACAAACGAAAGTGGGTGTAATTATGCCCTGGGGAAACCGGGGGAAATACGGTCTCTGTGTAAATATTGCCAGAAACTCCGAGAGTGGGTTTATTGGAGATTTCAAGATTTAGTACGTGATGTTCTCGAGATTGTTAGTGGTTAAGTTTTTAAAAATAAAAGTTATTAAACCTTAATAATAATTTTGAGAAATTTAAAATATATCTTGAATGCAAACAAAACTGCTCAAGGATCCGCATTATTTGTTAAGTTCCCGTCTTCTTAATCCTACGGAATATGTAAATAGATAAATATAGTTAGCACTGTTAAATACAACTAGAATCTACTTCAAATTAAGACTGTATCAGCAGAAACACATTATTTACCTATTTCTCTACTCTAACCCTCTGGTTTACCTATTTTAAGCAATGAAATTTTGTTACTGTCAAGTAATATGTGGAAGATTTAGAAAGATTGGAAGATTTTATTTGGATCCTCGTCAAATCAGGTTTACCGAAAACTTTAGCTGTGTTTTTGATTTGCTGACAAAGTATTTGAGAAAAGGTTTGAACAAATAAATAGTCCTAACAAAGTGAACCATAATGCTAAGACACATTCTCACTCAAAAATTATATCTCTATTATAATCAATAACCACAAAACACAGTGGAATAGAAAGAGTGAAATCTAATTTGAAAATTGTATCTAAATGTTTAAAATCTGACTGTTGTCAGTAGGAATTACTACTTGATGATCTTTCGCTGTATCACTATATCATTAAGTACATCGTGGACGTGGGGCGGCCTAACTTTCCGGGACCCGATACCCTTAAAACTCAACGTTCACCATCTAATCCCGGTCCCAAAAGCGGCTGGGAAGTCTGCCGAAGAAATCTTGTTCGGCAGGCCTAACTTCTCATTAACCCAGTTTCTTTTTACTGTAAAGTAACCGCCTAGTTTACTAGCCTACTTGTACTAAGCACTATTTTAGCCTCCAAACTCAGGCAATTATTTATGGAGGAGATTAAGAATTTGTGAGCATCCGACCCCTGATCGTTGAAGTCAGAAATTTCCTTCTTTTTTCAAGGTCAAGTGATTTTAAAGGCAATATTCACTATAAACAATAGCGTAACGATTTTTACAGATCAGAAACACAACTCCTGTAAAAACAAAAATAAGTATTATCCAGTCTATACAAGTTAACCACATTTTTGAACTTGAAGAATCCATTTCTAGCAGTAAAATAATTATTAACGATAGGCTACGAGAATAACAATTTTTGCTATGAAATTAAGCGCTCATTATTGAATTCAAGAAAAACTACTCGAAAGCACCAAATTGCAATGAGAAGTAAACTGAAGACCATGACTATGTAATGTAACCCTTTAAAAGTCTCATAAAACGATTTTCGTGAATACCTCCCTAAGGGTTACTTTTACGGATACAATATTGGTTATCAATTTTATAGCTTACGAAATTTCCTACAAAAAGGTCTAATGGCTTCATACTATAAAAATAATCATTTTGAAGATGCGGTCACAAGTCCTTGGGTGCATACGTATAGGTTCGAGTTAGATCCATTATAAATATATAATTTTACAAAAAAATCAATAATTAACATTTTTAATAATTTTAACATTTTTTGTATTTCCATAAAATCATCCTGTAAATGCAACAGATCGAAAATGAAGTCAAAACTAATGAAGTTCATAATAAGAGACGGAAACTTGATTGAATTAAAATTTTAACCAATTCTTATGAATACTTTAAACCACTTTTATTTAACTTTGTTAACTTTTATTAGATGAACCTGTCTAAAATGTGATCGACGAACGGTCAATGATGCCGTAAAACACTTGTTTCATTTACAGCACGTACATGCACTCCATCGAGAGGGCAGTCGTATACCGTTACGGGAGCACAAACCAGACGGCCTCAAGATTTAGTGCATATTGGGGATCTGGCGGCGCCGAAGCTTTGCCAATCCGAGGGCCTTAAGTTCGGGAAGGAAACTCCGGGACCTTTAGAGCAAATATCATACCGCAGCACTCTACCTAATGACCGGATCGTACTGTTTAAGTCGGCCCGTTTGCCGCAGATCGATCCTAAGGGACTCCCCCCGGAAGGGTAGCGGCCAAGTTCCTTAGGTTTTGTATGCAAACGCTGCAAGGGTCCGAAACGAACAAAACTTTTGGACAGTCAAAGAGAATTACGGACAACGGGAATGTGATCTTAGCAAGTTGTAATTTGGTAAAATTGAGGGTGGTTAAAAGGGGGGATTAAACGTAATACGTAATAATAGCAGTACAAAATACCTATTAGTTACTTACCGGGCCAAACTGTTCGAAGTAGCTTTTGACGTCCTCTAGGGTTGTGGGAGCCGAAAGCCCGCCTACGAATATTTTTTTCGTCCTGGTTACCATCTGCAAAGGAAGAAATACAGCAATTAGAGGTATTGTTCAACCGGACAAAGGGCTAAATCCCGACCGGCGGCGGAGGTGCAACTAGTACAAAATCGATGCGGAAGTCCTATTATCTGATTTGAGCGGCCGATACAGGTATCGCTTGCACGTGGTTAGACCTCAGTTCTGACGTTAATGAAACAAATGCCAGTTTAGACGAAGGGCACCGTCGGAGCTTAATTCGATTACGGCGGCAAGTTTAAAAGCTACCCGTTTATTTCCTGCTTTAACATTTATTTGGCCGGTCCATTGTGCTCGTAAAAAGTTCCTTTTTATCAAAAGGGCGTCCAAATTGAATCGGGTTGGTTAATCGCCGACGCAAATGATCTCGGCCGGCGTTATATTGCTTTCAGGGGGTGGAGAAGAGTAATACGAAAGGGAAGTAATAAAAACGGAGGCGCCAGGCCACCGAATCAAATAAACGCGATCAGTCATGCATTCGCTTAGCCACCGGGGTTTGGGGCCTCAGGGGTTGAGCTTTGAGCGCCTCATTGCGTCTGTTGCCGTACGAACGGCCTCAAGCGCTTTATACGTTTTCAAACGCTGACTGCACCTCTTTGTCTCCCAGAAACCCTCAGAGTTTCAGTTCGAATCGATGTGCATTTTATTAAAGTTGTTCGAAGCGATCTGTCCTCGTTGACAAACTTCAGCGAGATTGGATAACATATTTTTGAAGCCTGTCTCATACGAAATACTAGGAAAATAATTGAATCGACTTTGTTACGTAGTCAATTCTTAAAATAGTTTGACGTTCACGCACAATAAAACAAAAAGCTTCATAACGTGTAAAGCTACGAACAACAACTTTATATGTAACCCTAGGGAAATTTTATAGACTAAAACATGTTTTTTTAGGGCTATTGTAAAAGTGAATTACTTTATTACGAATTTGAATAAAAGAAAATTCTTTGAAAAACTCGTTTTGAAAACTTTGTTGTTTTTCCCCTCACTTTCTTAATTCAAGTACAAAGAAAATTCTTCTTTCAAAACTCGAATCGCGGGGGGAGCTTTTACAATTAAATTCGAAGCCTCGTTAAGACGAACGGGTTACCCGCCGTTGTTCGATTATTAACCTAACTTTCCCGGAATACAAAGATATTTTACGATGAAGGCGAAACATACGTTTACATCTTTAATATCACAAACAGCCGAAGAATAATAAATGGCTATCATGTAAGAGGGCAATAAGCCCCGGTCTATTTTCAAGAATAGTTTAGATACCTTTTGGTATCAATAAATAACGTTATAATTCTGCTTCAACACGCGAAGATTTGCATCAGTTATATCACTGTATTTATGCTTGGTACAGTTAGGTCGTCTAGAGTTTAATGAACGCTATTATTTGGGTGGTTTATATATCCCACAATTCCAAGTTTGACTAATTGAGGATTTTATGTAAATTTAATTGTACCGTACATAAATGAGGGTGATATTTAGAGGTGAAAATAAGAAAAAAAATGTTTGAACAAAGAGCTGTGTTATTAAAAGAGAATTATTTATCACTGACAAAACGATCCGGCCTCAATTTCTTATCGGACAGATACAAATACGATCTGAGGAAAATTAATGGAATTAAGACCATCTCACTCTGTCAAATTAAAATAAACATGATGATTGATTGCGGAGATCCGCGGAACAAATCTTCCGCTCGGAGATTTGTTCCCGGACGCTGCATCCAATTCCGGGTAGATAAATTAGGTTTTTTTGTCATAATCCGGCCAATTTGGGGAAGTGCAGCATCCCGGGGCACCATCGGACGGATCGAAAATCGACCGTCAGCGGAAATTTAAAACCGCACCGCGCCGACGACCCCGTTATAACGCTAAGCAAACAAAATTATTTTCCCTCTACCTCCCGCGAGTAAAATATGTTTCTTGAACAAACAGCAATTACCTGCGAGTCGGGTCTTAAGGTTGTTAGCGGCATTCTACTCCTCGCAATCCGGTTAAGGTTCCGGAAGTAGCGTAATAACCGCAAAAGGAAGTATCTCCCTCGCCTGCCTCTTGCTCAACCTTAAAGACCAGTATTTGTTGTATGGAATTACGTTATTCCCCTTAAAGTTCCGCCCACTTATATTCCGCCCTTCCCTTTAAATCTGCTGTGCGCGGCGGACGTTGAATAATGTAGCGGATTATTATTATTTATTCAGTATATTTATGGACGTCGCACTGAGAGAGGTCAAGAACTGGGACGGACAGACATCGCGTTCAAAAATATGCAAATTTATCCGCCGAGGTCTACACTATTTATGAGCCCTTTGATCTCTATTTATTACGTTTTGTCAAGATAAAATAGGAATCTAATAGGAGATATTCTCAACGGATATAATTCGATTTCACTTCTTTTATATTATAATTTCCTTTAATAAGAAAAAATTACCTAAACCTTTTACTTAAATCAAATAATAACATGTTCTCAATTTATTCTCCGGCTCCTCCACCAATTTCTTGTCATTTCAAGGGCGTTCGAGAAACGCAGGTGTTACTGTCGAGTTCCCCGAAAACGTCACGCCTCAGCTAGCGCCGTTTTAATTCAATTTCCTGGCGCAAAGGGGGCGACTTAATATCGGAATTATAAATCTCCAGCGTATTAAATGACTGACGTCGCGCGTTTCGTTTTCCATTTATCACGCGCGATGGTGCCGCCGCGTACACCTTCGCCTCGCCGTGACGGCGCGTATGAACTTATTAATTAATTTTATACAAATTACCATGGCTCCCGTTGTGCCCCAAGCCCCACTCCGACGCTCACACGAGCCCCCGTTGCGAACCTCGCGCTGCAAAGTACGGATAATTTATGGGTCCGGACCCGTACGCCATGATATTATGAATAGGAAATGCGAGTTTATCGCATTCCAGCGTCGATTTTTGCTGTTAATAAATAAATTCATTTCGTAAAACGTTTATTTGGAATAAAACGGAAAGCGAGAAAGAAATGGCAAACCTATAGAATTCCTAGTGATAAAATTAAATTAAATCAAATAACAGCGGAATTAAGAACATTAACAGATAACCACAAACATAATTACTTAAAACATCTGACGATGCCAGTACTGATTATTCTCTGTGGAAGCTAACAAGAGAGCTTCAAGTTAATTTATTTTCTGAATATGTGAAAAAAAAACTTTTACTTCAGACAGTCCAACAACTATGTTAAATAGTGTTCCTAGCATAATTCAAAATGATGAGCAGGGTAATATACCATGTGTGAGAATGAAAGAACTTTATTACGAAATACAAAAACTAAACATAAAGACATCAGCAGGCTATGACCTAATTAATGAAGAACCTTTGAAACATCTGCCAAAACGGGCGATTACAAAACTATTACACATAACTAATACTGCCTTTAAACAAAAATACTTCCCAAGTATATGGAAAGTTGCTGAAATAATAATGATATCAAAACATGGTTAACCCCCCACAGATGTTGCACCATATAGGCCAATCTCATTATTACCCTTACTATTAAAACTATTTGAAAAATTGTTATTAAAAAGACTAAAAGCTGTCATAGAAGAAAATTCCTGATACCAACACATCAATTTGGGTTTCGGAATAAACATGCAACAATAGACCAAGTGCATAGAATGACGAATACTATCGAAATGGCAATAGAAGAAAATAAAGTCTACTCCAAATCTGGTTAGATGATCGAAATTACAAACTAGACCAAAGACTACCATCAATGTATAGTCAACTATTAAAATCATATCATTCTGATATATTTTAGAGTAAAATACGAAAACGCTTATTCACCATTACATGAAAGACAACAAACCGGCGTTCCTCAAGGATGTGTGTTTGGCCCAACACTGCACTTACTCTACACCTTCCTCAGACACCAGAAACTTTAACAGCTACATTCGCAGATAACACAGCGACCTTGTAAGGTACGATCAATTATATGTAGAAATAAGTGTTATAGATTATATGAATTTGTTATAGGACAGCCCAAGAATTTCAGTTGTTAAGAGATGTTCAAGTATTGATGATTTGGAGACGAGACAGTTAATTTTGAATGATTTTCATAAGCTTCCAACAGGAAGACATACGGGTGTCAACAGAATATTTAACTAAATAAAGAAATACTATTTTTGGTCACGATTAAGGAAGGACGTTGAAGCGTTTGTAAGGAAATGTGAAGATTGCCAAAGGTTAAAGTACTCCAAACCAAATGTACAGCCTTTAGCAATAACAATGATTACATGCTCTGCAATACAAAAAATTTCTTTAGACATAGTAGGACCCTTATAGGAAGATTACGCAACCAATCGTTATATTTTTACATTACAATGCAAACTCAGCAAATATATCGTATGTTATCCATTACCAAATAAAGAAGCAGCCACAACCACAACGCATTCGTTCGTCCAAAATTATATCTTACGATACTGAATTCCTGAAACTATCGTATCGGATCAAGGGACAGCATTCTTAGCAAATGTATGTAAGCTACTAAAAATTAATAAACTATGCTGAACAGCTTACCACCACGAAACATTAGGTGCACTAGAAAATTCTCATAAGAATTTAGGTGCTTATCTACGTATAATTGGATGTAGAAATAAATGTTATCATTATTAAGTAGGTTAGGAGTAAGAAGGCTATTTAATAAGATTACTATAACAAACAAACGACGGTTTGTTGTTGCTAGGTTAGCATTAAGAATGCTATAAGAAAGCGTAACTAATAGTAATAGGATACGACACTGTAACGCCGTCATAACTTTATAGTAAATATAAACGTTAATTATTAAAAGTTCCCTTGAGTATAACTTCCTAACAAAACCCAATAATAACATAAGTTGTTACAATCTTGGCTGTTGCAGAAAATGAACTAGTTGCAGCAAATAAGTTACAATTGGCGTTAAATTCAATAGAAAATTGGACCAAACAATGGCTGATAAAATTAAATACATATAAATCGACATATATAAACTTTACTTATAAGAAAGTAAAC